TTACACTTGACATGTGTTTTAAACCTTCTCTCAGACCTGTCACTCAAGTTACAATCTTGGAGTATGACTCTAAGACTTGTATTGGAACGAAGTATGACCCATCTTCTTGATTTAACCATTTCAATAATTCAAGATTGCCCTTCTTAGTCATAAGAATGCACTAAGATTTCCTTAGAGAACTAATTGTGCTATGGTTTCTTAATCATTAAGATGATCACAAAAATTGATACTAAAGTACTCTCCCATTTTTTTAGATTTGAGAAACTCATATCCTTCTGTCTAAGTTGATTCTTCTTATTCTCTCTATCATACATTGGAACCTTTTTCCAATGTCTCAGAATTACACTTAAGCTTGTAAGTATAACCATATTTACTGAGCTTTAGTAAATTATGATGAATAATCTTATCGATATTTTATGGTCGACTTGACCAGTGCACAAGAATATACTCGATCCCTTAGTCCTTCACTTGACTCACATATCCATGTGAACAAGTAGTTAGTCTTAATTTTCCAAATATGAAAAATTCTCATTAATCATGCAATACAACTTGCATGATTCCAAGTTCCGGTCCAATTGAAACTTGGGTGATGAGGATATTTCCTTATTTGGTAAATTTAGACATTACCACAAATGAGAGAATCAAATTCACTTTCCAATATTGCTATCAGTGGAATCTTATAAGCAACAATTTTCCACAAACGCCATTGTAAGGATACATAAAATAAATAAAATTATGCGAAAAAACTTATCCTTAAAATCCATATGAAAACTTGTTGTTATCTATTCCTAAGAAATATCTCATAACTCCTAAGAAGTAGCTCAAGAATCCGATCTTCAAACTATGCGATAGAAATCCATCTATGCGATCAGATTCAACATATTCTTTCTTTAAGTTCCTCCACTTTTATTTGATTCTTAAACATCAACATGTGACCCAGTCACATCATGAATCAAGAATCTCAGAATAGAAACTTAGTAGAGTTAGATAGTGTACTGTACCTAACGTAGAGTCATACTTATTGACTTTAACATCCTTAGGTAAAATTTGTAGCTTCGCAGCTAATGCCCCTTCCTTTGACAATTTAACATATGGACACTTTGGTAACAGAACATGGGACTATCACATACTTAGCCTTTCTCTTTACCATTTGGTCAACCGATTTGACTATGGCCGATCCCTTTCCATTGGGAAGAGAATGCTTTTTCTGGATTTCCAGTGTCATCATTGTCAATGTCCATAAAGTTTTAGGAAGTTGATCTTAGCAAATAGATAAGATCATTAAGAGTCTTGTCATAGTCTGTTTCATAAGAGTCCCAAAGGAACTCACTATGTGACTTAAAAGGTAGTTGAGCCACCAACTTTCTCAAGACTTTGACACCCAACTCTCTCAGCTTGTCAATATGTGACTACATCTCCAAGATGTGACCACACATAGACCTTTACTTGCCAATAGGGCTTGAGTGACCTTAAACTTTTCAAGACTTGTAGGTTAGGGAGAATAATTGGAGGAGGTGAAAGAAGAATGATTTCCATGGGACATCATCTTCATTTAGGAAAGCTTGTTTCAAGAGATTTGGGAAGATTATATATGTCTAAACCAGACATATTTTGGGAGATATTCAAGATAGTTGATTTAAAGTCCTTAATATGACACCCAATATTAAATATTAAGGCTAGGACCAAACACAATACTTTTATAACTTGGAAGAGGGATTCCGTAATCCAAGCTATAAAATATTTGAAGGTAGGTGAATGACGATTCACCAATTTCCACCAAGATAAATGAAATGTATAATTAGGTTTTAATTGGATTTGAAACTCCTAGATCTTTTGAGATTCATTGAACTTTTCAATGGCATGTTTCAATCTCGAGTGTGCCCTTCAGGTTTTGTGACTGGAATGCCGATGATCACAAAACAAGGTGTGAAGTAACCATGCAAATATACTGGGTACCCTTAATATTTATCCCTTAATCGATGTGCTAGTTAACCACACACGCTCCACCGATACTATGATAAATATTAAGTTACCCTTTGCCTACCTTGTTAAGTCCAAGTTAGTGTGCCAGTTAACCACACACGCTCCACTAACGACTTAAGCAAAGTGCAAAGTGTAATTTCATGGGTTAGCACCTTATTCACTTTTTCCTAAGTAACTAAGATTGGGTATTTATAAAAGGTTTAATTACTTAGTATTTATCATTAAATTTTTTAATTAAGGGAGAATTATAGTCCTTGTCCTACCCGTTCGGCTAACGACTCTCCACCAGTCAAGGAAGCGGTGGGTGAGAGTGGACACCCATTAAACTGCCATTTTATAGGCAGTAACCTTATACCACCCTTATAGACCGGCTTCGTGAATGAGGCCTACTAACGATAAGACTGACTTTACTCTTATACACACACACACACACACACACATATATATATATATATATATATATATATATTATTAACTTATAATATTATAAAGTATAACGGTTGAATTTTAAATTTTTAAAATTCTAAGGGCTAACTTGGAATTAAAGTATTCATAAGTGAAAAATTTTCAAATTCCAAAACTTGAGGGAAAGTTTTGAAACTATTCAAAACTAATTAATTCCATAACTTATGTGTTTAAAGTAGTTTTAATTAAAAAACTCTTCAAGTTCCATAACTTGAGGACAAGTTATGGAAGACTTCAAACTAATAAAAGAATGTAACTTTTCTTCATTTTGTAACTTATGGAATTAATTAAGATTACACATTTTGTTACTTAATGAAGTGACTCTTGAACCTCCATAACTTGAGGACAAGACTCTTCATTTTTTTTTGTAACCATTGCCAACTTTTATAAGTTTTATGAAACTTAAATGTGACTTTTCATATAACATGAGGACAAGTTACAAAAACACATTTTAGAATCAATTATTAGATTAAAATGGATTACAAACACATAATCAATTAACTTTTCTATTAATCTAAGCAATTCATAAGAACAAGATAATTCAAATCAAAATTTTTCGTGTAATTAGTCTAAACCTTAAACTAATACAAAACATGAATCTATTGACATTTATCTATGAAATTGGATTAGCATGAACATTACCCCATCAAAAACAAGTTTCTAAGTCCAAAAACATCTTAGGGTAATGTTCCTAGTCCAATTCCATCCAAAAAAGTCGAATATATGCAGTCTGGGGGTCCTACTCGTCGAGTGCATGAACCAAATCGGCGAGTTGGATCGTTTTGAACACTTTTAAGGCATGGACTCGTCGAGTCTCCTAATGTACTGGCCGAGTCCTTTGTCCAGACAGGGCAAAAATTCAAATTTTAAGCAGTTTTTGCAGGTATAACAAGAAAACAAGACTAGGCTCTGATACCACTGTTGGGTTTTGAGCATTCTAACACTCCTAAGTGTACATGCAACCCTAAATACCTTGGATCTATGTTTTCTCTATTATACATGAAAATATGAACTTTCCAAGGTATTTAGGGTTGCATGTACACTTATGAGTGTTAGAATGCTCAAAACCCAACAGTGGTATCAGAGCCTAGTCTTGTTTTCTTGTTATACCTGCAAAAATTGCTTAAAAATCGAATTTTTGTGCTGTCTGGACAACAGACTCGGCGAGTCCATCAGGAGACTCGACGAGTCCATGGCTAAAAAGTGTTCAAAACGATCCAACTCGCCGAGTTGGTTCATGCACTCGACGAGAAGGACCCCCAGACAGCATATATTCGACTTTTTTTGGCTGGAATTGGACTAATAGCATTAACCTAAGATGTTTTTGGACTTATAAACTTGTTTTTGATGTGGTAATGTTCATGCTAATCCAATTTCAACCAAAAAAGTCAAATATATGCTGTCTGGGGGTCCTACTCATCGAGTGCATGAACCAACTCGGCGAGTTGGATCGTTTTGAACACTTTTAAGGCATGGACTCGTCGAGTCTCCTGATGGACTCGCCGAGTCCGTTGTCCAAACAACACAAAAATTCGATTTTTAAGCAGTTTTTGCAGGTATAACAAGAAAACAAGCTTGGGCTCTGATACCATTGTTGGGCTTTGTGCATTCTAACACTCCTAAGTGTACATGCAACCCTAAATACCTTGGATCTATGTTTTCTATATTATACATGCAAATATGAACTTTCCAAGGTATTCATCTTAACTAGCATAATAACATTGATTCAAATGAATATATCAAGTTAGAATTACATACCTCTTTGATATAGATTATCTTCATGAAGCTTGAGTGCCTAGTGCCCCAAGTGTGACACCTCAAATGGTTCATACAACACCAAATACACTTGGAATAACTTGAGAGAACATACACACTTCATGAAATCGGCTAGCCCTTCATTCTCACGCATAGTAGTCGATTTCTTAAGCCATTGGATTCTTTTATATGGTGGCTATTAGGGTTACACCATGTAACTCATAACTTTACCCATTCCTTATGCTCCATGGATTTTAACCTCCATCAAGTATCCATGGGTCATCCCATAGACTTAGTCCAACATAAGGAATCTTGGATCACAAGCCCACATATATAAGAATGAATGATTTACACAATCAACCCATATATTTAATTAGTTACCTTTTAATCACTTAATTAATTCCAAATTAATTATTTATCAATACTAATTAAATAACATTATTAATATATTAGAACTTATAATATATTAACAAACCTTAAGTGTTATTTCTCTCATTATAGTTTATCCAAATGCATGATGACATGCAACCCAAATGGACCATGCCGGGTCGGCTCAAGTCTCACCAATTATAGTTATGGACTTATACATTAATCCAACAAAAGTAATCAAGCAAAATCTATTCTTCCAATGGTGTATCTTGCAGCCAGGAGTGTGTTGCAATATTCCTTATTTTTTGGCACGTTTTCTGGCCGGGTCTACAACTAGATCTCACCCGGGGAGCCCTGTTTGTGGAGGCCAATTTATTACGCGTTTGGCCCGCTCATATCGTTTGCTTGTCCCTGATATTACTCGTTCTATGACTTGTGTGGATGAGCATGATTTTGGCATGGGTTATTTGGAGACCATGCCGGTTATCAGAAACTGTGGGGCGCATTGGGGGATAGTACCTTCCGATGATGAAGGTAATGAGGGTGATGAGCAGCCTGATACACAACCAAAACAACAACCACAACCACGACTGAGGCGCAGAAACGTGAGAGGAAGAGGAGAGAGGGGGCAACCAATGCATCCACCCGCACCCATAGTAGGATCCTATATTAGGGACAATATGGCTGGGTATTTTGACCAGTTATCATTGAGAGTCAACTAGATTGGGGGTACTGTAGAGAACATGGTTTAACATTTCAATGTGGAGAAGCCGCCTCACCTTGGGTATGACTACCCAATTTGCCCGAGGTGGACAGAGTATCGAGGACATGGAGGAGATGGGGGGGGGGGGGACTAGTGGAGCAAACGAGGGGGATGAAGATGATTGATCGTTTTTTTTTTTATTTTTTATTTTGTTTGTTTTTAGACTTGTTTGGTTTGTTTTGTTTTTAAGTTTGTTGGGATTGTAAGACTATTAGATATCATGTTACTTTTCTTTTCTTTGATTGTTAACTTTCAGTTTGCTAAGGAGTCGTCGGGAAGGTGTAAGGTTGAGTCAAAACTCGTATTTGTTTTGGCAAGTGTCGTTCAAGTCTAGAAGGTGAAAGTCGAAACCCACAATTGCAAATAAGTATGGGGTGAGTCGAGAGAGAGGTTATAGTTAGAAGAGTCGTCAAATTACACTGAATTTAGAAGGGTCTTAATTCGTTAAGATGTTGAGTGGAACATATATATTTAAAAGGAAGAAGGTAGTTTTAATTTTGGTCTACCCAGGGTTCACGTTGTAAGCCCGTACTTATTCACGACGTGAGTTATGAATTTACACCATATTCATTTCGTTCCATTCCTCTTCCTTATACGACATTATTACCATCCCTTATGACACTTTTGTGATGATTCGATGAGTTGTTTTCTTTACATATACAATGTGGCGTATGCTTTCTCACATTGTCTACACGATTTGGAGGCTTACACCATTCTTTTTGAAGATTGAAGTTTTGATTGATGGCTGGTTTCGCAAGTTCACATCCAAGCTCTTATTTTTGAAGAGGTCCAATATTCGAGATGCATATTTCAACCACACTTTTGGAGATGTTCACGCCACTATCCCAGGGGAGTCTGTTCCTTTTTCTCCCTTCTCTTAATTTTTATATTATTTATAGAATACAATGAGGGCATTGTATGAAATAAGTGTGGGGTAGGGGGTAGAAAAGTAAATTGCTAGATAATTTGGTAAATTTTAAAATTTTAAATTTTTTAATAATTGAATCTAATAGTAATAGTTTGAGCTGCAGTTGCTAGTGTGATATGGGATGATCTGATGAGAGCTCAAATGTTTAGTTGAGCCAATACACGTTATAGTGTATTTGTGGCTTCCCTTATTCTAGTGAAATCATGGGACAAAAACATAACCCTGCTTAGTTTGAGGAATACAATATGTTTAGCAACCTAAACCTGAAATGTATCCAGGAAAGATATGTCTTAACCAATAAAGGTTGAAGTTAAGCGTCCATGCTTAAGCATGTAGGTTTTTGAGTGATATTAAAAAAAGTGAGATACATGTAAAAAAGAGAGAGAAATTACCAAAAGTAAAGAAATGGAAGAATTTTGGAGCATAAAAGTATCAAGTTTGAAGAACAAAAAGATCAAAATTCTCAAAGTTGAAAGTTGAAGATGCCAAAAATCATGAAGAAAGTGAATTCAAAGAAGTCAAAGATCAAACATCAAAGAAAGAAGAATTCAAGAGCTCCAAGCTATGGTATCTTCTAAAAAGTTGTAATTCTCTAGTTTATGTATGCTTGGGTAGCTTTACAAAAATACTTTGAGGTTAAGTAGGATTTCTGAGGATGGATTCGGAGGGTTGCATAAAATGAGCATTGTTCAAAAGAAGTGGGCAAATGTTTATGAGGTTTGTGAGTATTTAGAATTGAGGGGGGTTACTTAGGAAAAATTTTAGACAAAAATGCATGCGTTGAGATCTTGGCATAATGGCTAAGCTGGAATTGGATTGTTCTATGTAATGCTACTGACGAAGGTTTAAGTTTAAATAAGTAGATTTGCTTGAGGGCAATCAAAGTATGAGTGTGGGGTATTTTGATATTGCCATATTTATACACATAGTTAGGCAATGTTGATCTACATTTTTATAAATATTTTGGTTATTTGCATAGAATTATGGTACTTTGTCACACCCCGAAAACCGAAGGCGGAAACATTTCCGGGGTTGACTCCACGTTGAGTATCAAATCCAATGCACATAGTAAGTAAAGTAAAACAACCATTACATTACATAATAAAGTTTTACAGTTGTTTCAAAAGTAAAGTTTGTACAGTTGTGATACATAGTATATATAAACAAAATGAAACGGATCTTCATGTACTCCGTCTTCAAGCAAAAAGGATCTTCGGGTACCTGTTCTAACGCTGACCTGAGAACACAAGCGGTTTGAAAATCAACATAAAGCTGGTGAGTTCATAAGCAATTTTTGTTTGTGAAAATATTTCAAGTCTCCTTTCTGTTTCTGAAATGTTATGTATACCAAGAAAATCCCATATTTTCTTAAAGTTGATTTTTGTTTCACAAATGTAAGGTATAGTAAGTTTGTACACTGAAAACATGTCTGCTCATGTGAAAATGTATAGTTGGTTATCTGACTTGTTAAACTGTTCTGTTTACTTATCATGTATTCCCAGGAAAGTCCCATACTTTCCTTATTGTATATTACCAAATGTAAAAGATGTAATGTTATCCAGTTTGTTACTCTTTCTAGTTATGTAAGTGTTACCCAGGAAAGCCCCATGCTTTCCTGCATGTTAGTTTCCAATGTGAGTGATGTAAAAGATGTAAACGTAGTTAGTTTCCTTGTTTTCCCTAGGAAAGTCCCATACTTTCCTGAATGTTAATTACTGTTCATGAATGATGTAAAAGATGTATAAGTGGTTCATTATTACTATAAGTAAATCTCTATTATTCTAATTGCGAGTTCCATAACCATACAATAGACTAAAAACCTGTGGCAATAAGTAGTCCACATGTGGCAATAAGTAGTCCACATACTTATGACTTTCGTCACCCTTGAACCATTTCGGTTCGGCTGTAGCTAGCAGCCAGGTGTGGGGTAGTCAGCCCCGTATAGATCTATACACTCAAGTCACGCTCTCTAAATACCAGAGATTCTGGTTACGGGTGTAGTCCTCCACTCGCGTATCTCTGTGGAGTGTTCGCCGAGGACGTGTCTCCAATCATACAAGATTAACAAATTTACTAGTAAAAATATGATTGTCCTCCACTCGCGTATATATGTGGAGTGTTACCGAGGACAAAACAGTGTACAGGTATTATATTCAAATGTCTAATGTCATGCTTTTAACTGATAAAATATGGAAAGCCATTTGTGAAATATATGTAAAGCATAACAATTTATAGACCTATTTCACAAATATATGTTATGTGATCTGCATGTTCAAATGATTATCAGTTGTGGTAATCAGTATTAAAAGCATATGGAATATGAAACACACATTTGAAAACATGTTTTGAGTACAAAAATTTCCTTGTACTTTGCTTGTGTTCCCCCCTTGAAAACAGTGAAAACAGTGAAAAAGGGTAGGGGTATGAATTCACCGGACTCGGAAATGTGTCGGTTTTGAATACTAGATGCTGGTTTGGGGTTTGATTACTCGTGATGTCCCTATGTAAAATGAAATAATGTCCATATATATACAATTAGAGATACATTCACTAATCATATGGAACATTACACTCCAATGAGGTTAAACACCTCAAAACGAGCGTTTGGAGTGACCCGGGTGACATCTTCGGACGTGTAATGGCACTAGGGACTTGGGACTTGAGTTTACTCCCCAAGAGTAAACATTTTAAGGAGTTTACAGCCATATAACACACACACACATGATTTTACAGCCGTAAACTCATGTTGGTGTAGTTTTGAGTGTTTAAATGGCTTAAATGGACACGGGGATTGTTGGAATGGATTTCTAAAATGCCTTGGAATGAATTAAATGTAATTATACCACAAAGAAGGGAGTTTACAGCCACCACCTTGGAGTTTACGGCCGTAAACTACCCATGGTCAAAAGAAATTGTTTTAAGGCTTAAGGAGCAATCACATGTGATTCTAATTAATTTTCTAAGGATTGGTATCAATTTTAGGCTTCAATTAACACATTTATATGAGTTTACGGCCCAGATACATACTCTCTGGCCGTAAACTCCAATATGAGTAAGAAAAATTAGTTTTTGATGCTAAGAACAATCACATGTGATTCTAGGAATTTATCCAAGCCTTTGGGGTGGTTTAAGGCATCTTTTAACAAAGTTTTATGAGTTTACGGCCAAGGGTATGTTCCTAGGCCGTAAACTCCTATAAATGACCTTTTTGATGTGTTTCAAACCCTTAAACTATTTTTAGATGCAACTAGATTTTACCACAAGGCTATTGGTTAAGTTTCAAGGCATTTGGACATGTTTTAGGGCACTAAATCCCCATTTAAGAGGAGTTTACGGCCCAAGAATATGTCTTGGCCGTAAACTCACTTTCGTCGCCCAAAAATCATGTTTAAAGTGTTCCAAGTCTAGATTAGCAAGCCTTAAGGTCATATCTAAGTCCCAACTATGATTTGGAAGGGTTACTTGGCTCAAAAACCCCATGAACATGAGTTTACGGCCCAAGCTTATGCCTTGGCCGTAAACTCCTTCAAATGGCTCAAAATCAATGTTTTAAATGTTATAAGTCCTTTCCATTAAGTCATTAAGCCATATCTAATGTCCAACATTGCTTAGGAGGGGTTTTAGGGCTTAAAAACCCATGTTATATGAGTTTACGGCCCATGAAGGTTCCATGGCCGTAAACTCATGAATGTGGTCTTAATTCATGTTTTGAACTCAAATTTGAAGGCTAAGAAGGTTACAATACAAGCTAGGGAAAGTACCTTAGAGATTTGAGGCCTTAAATTTGAGTTTTGAACCCTTAAACTTGGATTTAGGAGAGAGGTTAGAGAGAGAGTAGAGAGAGGAAGAAAAAGCTTCAAATGAGTGCTTAAACACGTTTATATAGGTCCTAAAACCTGAACACGGTGGAATTCTACCTGATACCAGCGTTAGACGAGGCTTTTGGTCGTACCCGATTGAGTTGCCGTAAACCGATACGGTAATTTCTAGAAATATTCCGATCACTAAAGTTGGGTGTTAAAATGATTTCT